TTGCCTATGAAATTATTGTCAAAAACAAATATTTGAAGTATGTTATTTTTGGTATTCAACTCCAAAGAGGATGGTTTCTTAAATGGATTTCTTCCCCCTCAGTTTTGCCAGTATTTTAACGGCCATACTCAGTTTACTCACTGACCTTCTGTTCCAATAGGAAAGAAACGAAAAGATCTTTTTCCTTAGGTAAGGCCTTCCAGAAGAATGTATTGCCTCTAGAATTATTTAGTGAATCTCTGCCCTGTTGGGTTTGAATCCTGGACACCCAATTTGGTAAGAAAAGAAAAAAACCATTGTTTCAATAATTAAAAGGGCAAAAAACAAACCCAGGATCCTGTGGCCCAATAAACCCCTAAATTGGGTGACAAACGGGTACTGGACCAGCACAGAGCCTGAGAGAAATCCAACAGCATCCACCTCCAGAGCAAGCTAGTCTCAGGGGAGGACAATTATCAAGTAACAATTTACAAGTAAATTGTAACCTCTCTGTTAATTTAGTGCAATCAAGTGCAAAGGCACCTCTAAGATTCCCTAACGCTTCCTCAGTGGCTCATCCACAGCCTTTGACTCTGGCCCCTGAAATGATCAGAGGCAGTAACATTCAGAGACACCTCTTACTCTGCCTTAGCAGATTCACAAAGCACAGGTTTATGGTTTCTTTCTCTCCTTCCACCTTCCTTCTCTCCCTCTCTCCTCCCTTCTTCTCTTCCTTTCTATTTCTTTTGATGGTTCAAGGGCTAAAACTGCAGGAGGAAGAGGACATGCAAATAAAAAAAAAGAGAGAGAGAATTTAGAAGAGTGTAGTAAAGGGGCTATTGACAAGAGTAGTAAAGGCATGGGGCTAGCATCTGAGGGACTCAGCACCAGGTCTGGGGGGGCAGGGAGAGGAGGTGTTGGGGGCAGGCCCTGTGTGGGAGGTCCTCCTGACAGGAGCTGAGACCTCCTGTCAGTTTTCAGGGACCCTACCAGGAGGGAGCCAGTCAAATAAAAATGAGTTTCCTCCAGTCTCCTTTCCATACTTCCTATTGGCCTAACCCAATGGAGGACAGACGGCAAAGGACCTACCAGCATGTTCGGTATGGGTCAGACTTCTGAGGCACCGAGTGGGACAGAAGGGGGTGGATTGTGGATCTGGAGGGGGAAACAGAAATCATCAGCATAGCACTATAATCCAGGCTCCACATTTAATTTCTAGCTTAATGATACAATTAAGACATCTTTGAGCCTAATTTTTCCTGCCTCAATTGGACTTCAAGGAATCTTTATTTTTCTGCCTGTTGACTATATGGCTTATTTTAATTGCATAGACTTTTATTGTCCTACTTTTCAAACTTCATGATTATTTTGAAAGTCACATACCAAAGTGATCACTTAGATAACCAGTCTGGTATTTAATATCAGGCAGACAATGATGGGCATTTAAATATTCACTGTTAGGATTTTAAATATCTATGCTATACTTTACCACACACACACACACACACACACACACACACACACACACACATACACACTTTTCCTGGAGCCTGCCCTAAAAGAGTAAAAATGAAAATCCATGTCAGAAGCCAGACTAAAATGCTAGTTCTCTTAAAGTTAACCACATATCAACTTCGTGCTACAATCCATCCAGAGCTGCATATACTCTTTATACAACAGAGGTTTGCATCTGAAATAATACATGGAATTCAAACTTGGAGACCACAGAGAACATTTTACTTGCAAAGGTTTTACTTTCTGGCTGCCTGTCCTCTCTGCTCCAATTCCATAACATGGGTAGATTCTGCTCCCCTCCCTCACCCTCAAATGACTGTAATAAAATCCTGCCTCCCCCCACAACCCCATTTGGGTTTCTAATGAGAACCATCAGCTGATGATATCCAGCCAGATAATCATAAGGACAGGTTTTAAACACAAAATGACTTAAAGTCACACACGGGTCATTTTTCAAGCATGCATCCATTTATATGAGTGGATTTTCAATCCAAACACCATGTACCTCAGGCTGACTATTTTGGATCCCATATTTTCCAAGTAGAAAAGTAATCATGAGTGATCAAGCCACCTGGTCAGGTGCACCTCTCCAACACCCCACACTAAAGCAGCCCCCCACCATGATTGAAGGCAGATGCCATGGACACTGCAAGACAAGTGGATGTAAATACATGGAGACACTGGTAGAGCAGACATTTGACATTATCTCTTAATTTGTTCCACGGATCTATACTCAAATCAGAGTTTCCTGAAAGTAATTTAAGAACTATCTAGCCACAACAATACCAGGGAAGAGGAGTTTCTGGCTTTCTAACATATTTAATAAGTTTAACATGTGTTTAAATTAATATTTAACATATTTAACATATTACCTCTGTCAGGCTCCAGTTACATGGCACTTAGAGTTAAAGCTACTTTAGATAACTTCACGTTTGGTCAAGAATATCTTTATGTAGCAATTCTTAATGTCTCCTATGATTACTTTGATATCAAATTGAATATGTTGTGTCCTTGAAATCTACTGTTCTGTAAGTCATGCAGCAAACTTTGGTTAAAAGCAATACAGTTCTGACCTGTAGTACACTTGTTTCATTCTCAATGTATTTTTTTTCTTTGTCTATTCATTTTATCTTTCTATTAGGTAATCAGATAATAAGCATCTTTTAAGTCCCACCACCTGCAACATGATGTGATAAAAAGAAACTGAACCTTGGTGGGGGGAAGGTACCTGAAAATAACCTTTCAGTCCAGAGAAGCAGCCGGCCTTGGAGACCCCCACATAAAGAGGGCTCCTGAAATAAATACCTCCATTTATTCATTATGTGGTTTAACCTTGAATTTTTTGCAAATTTGGGATGTTGATAAAAACCTATTCTGTTGGGTGGCTATAATGATTAAATGAAAATATAAATCCCTTAAGATGTCATCTATAATACTTATTAAATAAACAATGGCTCTCTTCTCTCTCTCCCACTTCAATAAGGTGGAAAAAAGCAGCACTTACAAACAAGCTTGGAATCAGAAAATTGCATCTTTCAAAAGGATCATAGAGGTCACATCTCCTCCCCTCCAAAAAGGAGCACTCTCTCCACCATCCTGTCTTTGCTTCAAATAGGCAGACTCATTTTTAAAATTAAGTCACTCATCGTGCTCTTATATATAAGATAGTTTTTAATTCCATAATTTTTAAATTTAATTCTATAATTTGTTAAATTTACTTGTTACATTGTTTATATTCTTTAATTGTTAAAAAGTTATTTCTCATTTTGAATAGAAATATATGTCCCAGAAACATTTATCCCTTGGCTACACATACAATGTCTAATTCTGCTATGTTGTGGAAATCTTTCTGGGTTCACAGTGAGAAGATGTGGGACTTAGCCTCATTTGGACATTGTGTTGCTTTGTGACCCTGAATAAATAAATAAACTTCCCTGAACCTCGATTGATCTAGGAAATAGGGACCACACACCTGCCAGATCTCCTTCCGAGGGTTCTTACGGGCAGCGCCTGACAGCCCTGTCATGCTCCTTGTTGGCCACCCTTCAACCTTCCCCCACATATAGCATTCTCACTTCTTTTAGCAGTGTTTCATTTAAAAAGTTTAAAGGACAAGGAATATTTTATAGTTAAAAACTGTTGAATAAAAATGCCTAAGAAATAACAACAGTGAGCCAAGGCCTTCCAGACGAAGGGCAGCATGAAAGAAGTTGTGACTATGAGAACCCATAGTCAGGACGATGAGGAGATGGTCCCAACATTACTAAGGAAATAGCATGCCCTGCTGAGGGTGTGGCTGGCTTACAGAAGGTATTGGGGCCCAGCTAAGGAGTTTAAATGAGATATGATAGAAACAGGGGCGTTTTAAAGGTTTTGAAGCTAGGGAAGGAAAATGATAAAAGTGTCATTTAAGGAAAAGAATCAAGCCCAAGAGTACACTAAGGATGGAAAATATGAAAGTTTGGAGTAGGAGGTGCTAAATGTATATCATGCAGTAATACATGCATGAGCTGATAAGAGCCTGCACTGGGATTGTAGTCATGAGATAAGTAGATGAACACACACAGGAGACAGTCTGAGGGAACATATGACAGGATGTGAAGACTTCCTAGTTGGAGAAGAAGGCAAGAGGAAGTGTGAAAGTCAACTCTGAGATTTCACATCTGTCTATCTAGGAGAATGTGGAGACTTTGACCAGAGGCAGGAAAGTGGCAGAAGAGAGTTTTTTGTGGAGTCCAGACCAGAGATCCCAATTTAAGAGTCATCTGTGCAGTGGCAACAGACAGAGTGGAGGAACAAGCATGGCTGGTGGTCTCCCCAAGGGCCACAGACACTGGGGCAGGTGGCCAGTCTGGCTCCCATGCCCCCACTGACTTGGTTTATTTTGTTTATTTGTCATCTTTGAGTCACAGTACTTTTTCTGTATCTCCATCATTTTATTCATACAGTTTGTGAGTCAAATGTGATATTGTAGTTATTTATATACATCTTGTCCTCCCTACCAGACTGTAAGCTCTTTGAGATCAGGGATCATGTCCAACTTTTCTTCATACCCTCCAGTGTGTCTAGAGAAGTGCTTACACACAGTAGGTGCTGATTAACATTTTGAATAAATGAATGAGTGAAATATGAATGTGATCCGGGAACCTGAATTGGCTACATGCTTGATAAGATCTTTTACTACAAATGCAAACCAGGTAAGACAGCATTGTGACTTGGATTTGAAGCCTGCCACCTCTACTCTAGGCACACAGCAATGAAAGATAACATACGAAAGACATTACTCAAAACCAAAACCAAAACCAAAAATTTTCTTGAACAAGAAGTGAAACAGTGATTCAGAACAGTAAACCAGGAGCTAAGCTATGGGTGCCCAAGCAGTCAGAAGCTGCCAGAGGTCAATGCTTGCACTGTAATGAGGTTACAAGGGACCCAGAGCAGGCAAGAAATGAGCCAGTGCTCCTTTCATACATTATGGGGTAACAAGCCACCCCAAACCTTAGTGGTTAAAAAGACAACAACCATTTTATTATGCTCATGGGTTCTGTGGGCCAGGAATTCATAAAGAGCATTCTTCTCTGCTGCACAGTATCTGCGTCTTCAGCTGACCCAACTCACATAACAGGGAGTGATGAATAGCTGGTGGCCAGAATAGCTGGGGCTGGAGAATCCATTTCCAAGATGGCTTCTTGACTCATGCGCCTGGAGCCCAAGCTGGCATGACTAAAGGATAGACTCAGCTGGGACTGTAAACCTCTCTAGAAAGTAGGGAAGTGTGGAAAGAAGAAAAAAAAATAGCCAGTGTTAGTAAGAATGTAGGAAAACAGGATATACCACCAGTGGAAGCATAAATGAGTCCAATCTCTTAGAATTTAGGAATATCTAGAGCAATTGAAAATTCACATCCCTTGTAACCCACCAATCCACTTCTAGGTAAAAATCTTCGCAGTTTTCCTTCATCTACAAGGCTATTTACCATATTCATGAAATGTTGTTGCATAACAAACAACCACAACATCTCAACGGCAGCCAAGGAGAAATACTTACAGAGCTTGTGCATCTGTAGGTTGCTGGAGGTTAGCTTAGCTCTGTGGCCCTATTGATGTCAGCTGGGGTGGCTTACGCCCATCTGAGGGTCAGCTGATACAGGCTGGACACAGCCAGGCGACTCAGCTCTGACTCACACGGACCAATCTCCTCCTTGGTCTAGTGAGTAGTCTAGGCACATTCTTTCCAGGGCAATGCAAGGAACTCAAGAGTACCAACCCAGTCACCCGGGTACTTTCCATGCCCTTGGGCACAGCATGCCTGCCAACAGTCCACTAGCCAAGCAAGCTATAGAGCCAAATGGAGAGATGGGAGGCACGCTCTGGTGGGAGGAATAGCAGCCGCCTGACCAAGGGTGTGGTTACAGGACTCGGTGAAGGGCTGAGCCTGTTAATGCAATCTACCAATGTCCTGCAAAATTGTTTGTGATAAGATGAAAAGAACCTAAATATTCATCCAGAAAAAAGAGAATGGTGAAATAGATTGGGGTGTTTTCATCCATCAGAGCACTTACAGAGCAGTGGAAACAAAGAAACCAGGGTTGCCTCTATCACTGTGTATAAACCTCAAAACCAAAATGCTGACTGAAAAAAAAAGTTACAGAATGAAAATGTAGAGCATAAAAGCATCTCTGACAGGTTTTTAAATGCTCTAGATTATATAGTACGTATTGTTTGTGGATATATACATACGTAGTTTTTTACATGAATAAGAAAGATATACTGAAGCCTCTGGGTAATGATTACTTCTGGAGAAAAAGACAAAATAGGTTCATGGAGGGAAGACACAGTGGAGTTCCATAGTACCTGTGACTATATTCCCAATAATAAAAGTATGAAGCAAATTTGGGGGAATATTAACATCTGCTAAATCTGAATGCCGAATGACCTAGATGCTTCTTATACTAGTCTGGAGATTTGGTGAGGAAAGAGTTACAAATAGCTGAGCAAATTATTCCTTGGCCCTGGAATATAAAGGATTGTCTGCTACAAAACACCAGGAGATTCTGTCTACTGTCTGACTGCCCTACTCCCTGTCAATAGTTTTGAAACAGCTCCAGATATTGGTGCCAAGAAAATTAGACAAAAAAAGATTACCAAGACTGCATAAACTCCATTCATCGCATTCTGATCACTTGTGGGCTTTGGTTTTAAATCCCAGGCGCACAAACCGCTATTTTGTGACATGTTTGGCTGCTTCATGAGTCAGCAAATCCAGTGACTAGGACACACAATCAAGGTGCCTTTGTAGAGAGGACTGAGCTTAGAGTTATTTCATTCACCTTTTTTTTTTCCTTAAGTTAATTTTTTATCAGAACAACTTAGAGTCTCTTTTCATCCATAGGGAAATGAGAAGGACTGTTAGGAAAATGACACCCATATTTTGTTAGCAAATATTAGGAAAATGTTAAATCATGGTAAGAAAAAACTACCAGGTGGGCTGGAAGTACATAGGAGTGTTGGTATAAGGGTTGGGAGGTAGAATGGCTGCAAAGCTCTTTGCTTTAAAAGCAAGAGTCAGAAATTGGACATTGATTTTTAAGTAATACAAGGTTTGATACATTTCTTTCCCTAGCAGAGTTAAATTTACTGTCATTTTATTTTCACTGTGATATTTTACTCTAAAGATGGTCACTTGGAATTGAAATGTATATGCATATGTAAAAGCATATAAAAATCATGCAGTATAAGACAGCCTTTCTAGATGGTCTTCCTGTTAACCCATGGATGACTGCATCAGTATGTATTCACGGTAAACATAGCTGTTTAATTGAAGAAAATAGCATTGTTGGATGCAAGGCCACGAAGGGGCTAGCCGGCATATTTTCCAGACACTCTCAGCCCCAAATGAATCTTCTCGACATTAATCTCAATGGTTTTTCAATGGAATAATTTCAGGATTATTAACTGTGATTTTGAAGTTGCTTACAGTGTTTATTAATAAAGGCAAATATCTCTCTCCCCTCATCTTATACTCCTTTAAGGTTACTTATTATATGGTTCTACTTCCAAAGTGCATCTTGAATTTTCCACCTCTCCCTGTGTCCAGCGGCACCACTCTCCCACTGTCACCCAAGCTCCCCTCCTGGCTCATGTGACCATGCAGCCTCGCCACAGCCACTTTGGCCCCCTCTGTTCTCCATACAACAGCAAGAGGAATCTTTCTTAAATATAAACCTGCTCAAACAATTACCCTTTGAAAAAACCTTGCCTTCACTTGCTTCCTGTTGCCTTCAAAATCCTTCACAAGACCTGGAAGATGTACATTCCTGCTTTTGACTCCATAGTCTGCTCACACCACTCCCTGCTCCTTTCCCATATTCCTGCCACCACCTGAATTTTATTTTCAACCCAAGTTATAATATGCTTATAGAAGAAAGTAAAAAAATTCTTCAAAGTCCATTATACCCCCACATGACGAAATATCACTCCCTACCCCCAGTTTCCATTTCCCCAAGGGCAACCACTTGCAACTATTTCAGTTGAGTCTTTGGGATTTTGTCTCCACATCTCTAAATACCATGCTTTTAAGACTACTCTTATTTTTGTTTTAAGCATATTCTATTGAGTTCTTACTACAGAGAATTAGTTCTTTCACACTGTTCTCCACTCCTCCCCCAACACCACCTAAACCATACCCATGTCTTCCCAACCTAGTTATCTGCTAATTGTTGCTAGATCATTTTTTTGGTGTGCTTACATTTTTTTGGCTATGCAAACATTTTTACTGCTGAGCCACACAGTGTCAGAGATCACTCTTCCTTTCCTGAATAATTTTTACTTTCCCTAGAATTGATTGTTGTCATTTTTTTCCCATTGGTTTGATTTTCTTTTCACTATGCCAACCCTAAGCTGCCCTTTAGGTGCATAAGCATCTCCATTTCTTCAAACATTTAAGTGTGCATCAATTTTTATCTTCTTAACAACAGTTCCCTAGCCCAGACTTCTACATCAAATGAGCAGCCGTCATCCTGGGATAGCCCTTTATTATCATTTTAAAGGAATTTCCAGAGAAAGCAAAGTTTGTGTGTTCCATTTACAACCTTTACCCACACCTCCTGACTTTCTTTCAGATCCTTGTCCACGAGCCTCAGGGCCTTCACACATGCTATTTTCTCCTCTTCAAATCCCTTCCCTGGTCTTTGCCTAATTTCTTCTCATCCTTTAGATCTGAGTTTGCAAGTCACTTCTTCAGAGGCATTCCCTGATTTCCCAGCCAATCGTTTTTGTTACACTTACTTACAATATCCTGTACTTTTCCTTAATAGTATGTATCAGAAATATTAGTGTGGTGTGCTAATAACTTGAAATATTAATTTTTTTCTTCCACAATTTATACATGATCTAATCAGACACATCCATTTCCTCAAGGACAAGTAGGATTTTTACAGAGGGAGTGACAAGAACAAGAAACATCGAATGCTCAGTTTTTCAATTTCCAGTAGAGGCTTGTGAGAATTAAAAGGGCAAGTCGTGAGGGTGGGAGTAGAGAGCAAAGATGATGCATGACCTAAGAGGAGAGCCTGGGTACCAGGTAAAGAAGAAAAGGGGTCAGCCTTAGGAGACTGTCAAGCACCATCATTGGCCAGCTCCAAGGAGCCCTGGGGGGAGCAGCAGCATACACTCAGGGGCGGTACTCAAACATTAGGCCATCTGATGCTAATATTCACTAGCATATAAACCAATATATAAATAAAAAATTAAAAACACTCTCCTTTTATTGTCTAAATTTACTATAGAACTGCTCACCATAAGCACAAGTTGTGGCACAAGTCGATCACCCTAACAATGTCAAAAGTGTTTGTTGGGTTATAGCCAGTTATGTGCTCTTGTGTCTGATGCAGCTGCCACTACCTGTGGGAGATCCCCTGGCCCCTCCACCTCTCCTGGGTCCCTCTGATTTCAGTTGCAGCTGAGGTAGTTGGTTCTAGATGATTGTTACCATCTGCCACAAGTGCTAGCCAATCTCTTCGGTTTTCTGCCTCAGGTTTTTTTCTGAAGCCACAAGAGTTTGCCCAGTCTTGTGCAGGCACAGCCAGGAAGTGCCCAGGAGTGCAGACCCCAGGGACAACCTCAGACAATGATAAACAGGTATCCATGGAAACAGTGCCTCAGACTCCCAAGCTTCAGGAAGACAACTTTGAGGTGTGCTCTATGTGGTTTCTCAAAGGATCCCCAGCAGGATCAGGCCCCAGCTGTCCACAGTGAAAACCAGCACAATAACACACCATTTGTCGACTTCTCTTCTGTCCCCATTTAATTCTTCCCATTCCCCGGTTTTGCTTTCTGAGATCATCTTCTACACATACTATCTGCACTGAAGTCCTTGTCTCAGGCTCTGCTTTGGAGAGAAACCCAAACTAAGACACTCTCTGAATTATATTCTGGAATGACTCATGGTTTGACATTAGGACTTACATTCAACTCTTTCAGTGACGTCCCCACTGCACTGATAATCATTAGGTGACTGGATATCCCATTAGAGCCTGAATTATGGTTCATGGAGCTCCCGCATCTCAGACCAGCTGTGTCCACTGTTCTCTCTCTCGCGCCTGCCTCTCTCATCCTATCAGGAGTAGACAAACGAGATGGAGACATAAATAAGAGAAGAAGAGGGGGTAAGATGCATGAGGAGCCCAGTTAGAAGATGGGACACACACAGAGGGGAGAACAAAAAGAACAGAAGAGGTAAAAGAAAGGAAAACACAAATGGTGGTCATTGACAGTGAGACATATGTGTGGACAGTCATGTTGCTCTAACTCTGCATGTCTGCTCTGGTGAATAGAGAGTGGGCAGGCATGGAGGGAATAAGGAAATGGATTGGCTGCTCAGAGACCAGAGACAGGAGAGAGGACTCACACTGTCACGTGTTGGGGCACATGGATTCCTGACCATTAAATAGAGTCCTAGACAGACCTTTTCAGGAATAATTGCCCCCAAGTCAAAAGCTAAGATGCCAAATAAAAGAAAGGTTGTGGAAACCTCAGAAGGGATGTTGCCACACAAATTCCAGTCTGCACAATAGCCCGCAAAAAACCTCTTCAACTTCTGCCTAAACCTGGACCCTGCTTCTTCCCTTGAGCAAAGGTGGGTATACAGAATACGTCCTCTTCAGCTCCGCTGGTCAGGCTGCCATCCCTACCAGGTCTTTAGAACTGGAGTGATGGATGTGTT